GAGGCCCTCTATAGAAAAGGTCAGAGCAGGCTGTTCTTCTCTGAGGAGGCTCAGGTCATTTCAACGTTGCACTCGGCTACTACGGATGTTCTAAACAGTCTGTAGTGGCCAGTGTCATCTAATTTGCTTGTAGTTTGCTGGGAGGAGGCCATCGGACTCTGCGGTGTCACAAGCTGAGGACAGAAGGCTAATTCAAGTGGTGGGGAGGCAGCTGGACAGCTGTCGGAGGCTGTGAACTGAGAAGAGGAATGAGAGGACAAGCTGAAACCATCATGGACACCCCTCTCATCTCTCTAACGCTTGAAGCTGAGGAGGCTTAGGAACATTTTTCAGCTCAAGACCTGATCAGCCTCCGAGCTCAAAGTGGTTGGAGTCTCGTTTGTGCATCAGCCATAAGACTCCACAAACGTCACAGCACCTCCACCTCTGCTGATTTATGGGGCTAATTTTAATTCTGCTACGCAATTAACTTTTTGTAAAACCGTTCCGTTTTCTGGTACCTTGTATTTGTTGTAATGTAGCGAATCAAAAGCTGCGGGAGGAGTTTAGCGCGCGAAAAAAGCGTACGAAGAATAAAGTATAATAAGGCCCTGTTGGAAGAATAGTAGTGTGCTTTGCAGGCCACATAATAAGCCCGAGGAATAATAGTAGTGTGCTTTGCAGGCCCCCCACCACTAATAATAATAAGCCCGAGGAATGTATAATAAGTAGTGTGCTTTGCAGGCCACTAATAAGTATGAAGGAATAATGAGTAGTGTTGCTTCCCTGCAGAGCACCACTAATAATTAAGCACCGAGGAAGAATCGCAGTAAGTCGATGCCACATCAACCACACCCTTAGCAGCGTCACACCACTAAAAACATAATACGGAGTATGAGGAAACATAAATAGTAGTTGTGTCCTTTGGCAACGACCGCACAACTAATAATAATGTAATGACGGAAGGATATTTATTCATTTTATTTTTTTTTTGTCCTATTAAATTTTCTAAATTTTTTTAATATTGTTCTTTTATTCCTCCCTCTCTTTTTCAATTCATAGTAGTGTTGGGCTTTAATGCAGGTAAACACTAATAGGGCACCGAGGAAGAATAGTAGTGTGCGTTTGCAAGAGCAACACTAACAAAAATAAGGTATGAGGAATAATTCAGTAGTGTGCTTCTGCAAGGCCACAACTAATAAGCGAGGAATAAACTATAGTAGTCGTGCTTTTGCAGGCACCCACTAATAAGCTCCGGAGGGATATTCATAAATAGTCAGTGTGGTTTGCAAGCGGCACACTAATTAAGCACGAGTGTAAGACATCAGTAGTGTGCTTTCGGCCAGTGTTTACACTACAATAATGATATTAATAATAAAGCTCCGATGTAATAATAAGTAGTGTGCTTTAAGCAGGCAAACACTAAAGTAAAAATAATAAAGACACGAGGAAGAAAATTAGTAGTTGCTTTGCATGGCACACTCATAAGCACGGGCGCGTCCTAAGTGCTGCTTTGGCCAGGCACATCTAATAAGCCCGGAAGTAGAAGAATAGTAGTAGTTGCTTTGCACGGTCACAACAGCAGGCACACTAATAAGCACGGGGAACAATAGTAGCGTGCTTTGCAGGCACACTAATAAGCTAATGCTTCCATTATGAAATACCATACAGTTACTGTCACTACACATCACCTGTAAAACCACTCTGAGGTTTGGCTTTTAGAGAAATATCTCAACAACTACCATGTTCCCCTCAGAATGACTTATAATCACGTTGGTAATCCTTTCATATAATCTAGTGCCACCACCATCTCCCATTTTTAAAAAAAAAAAAAAAAAGAGTTCAGCAAACCCTAACCCTAACCCTAACCCAGCAGAGTGTCCTAGCGGCTCGGTGCATAAAACCTAAAAGCTGCCTCCCCAAGGCTTTTAGTCATGCGCTCTGGACTAACAGACTCATTCCAGAGGATCTAAGGGGCTGCACCGGTTTATACGCTGTAAGCATATGAATTTATAGCGGTGCAAGACCGTACAAAATTAGCTATAAAGAGGTGTCAGAACAGCCAGATGTGGGCAGGTGTGGTTTATTGTACTTTACTGTGATGTAGCGTTGAACTGTACTGTACTGCACAACGTGTGGAAGAAACATGTACACCAGATTCCACCACTAGTTGGTAGCAACAAAGAAGATCATTTGAGTGGGTGTTTATCTTTAACAAATGCATGAAGATCATGAATGTTAATGCCAAACTCTGCAGGCTGTGGGTGTGTTAGACCCCGATCTTGTAAAAGACCATCTGTGGTTGTATTTGTGAAAAAGTGACCTGGTCAGAGGGCAGGACTATATGAGCAAGTTCCTGTATTTAGCAAGCCAGGAATAGATTATTTGTGAAATAGACGATAAAAAGACCCACAAGCGCCAACGCAAGGTTTTAAAAATATCTCCCAAAACCTTTTAATATCCCAACAAGACGCTGCAGGCTCAGACTGATGGCAGGGAAAAGTTTAGAGAGTCATTTTACAAGCTCATTCAGCAGCTTGTAAAATGACTTGACCCAAAAAAGGAAACTAGAGAGATAAAACCATTTGCCCTTCATTATCGCCCCCTTCCCCTCTGTCCCCCACAGACTTCATGTCAATAACTGATTCGTAAAAATACAGTAATTTTCTATAATTAAAATATAGTTTTTAGCTTTAATTTTATATAAAGTCTTGTCTTTTTAATATTCAATCAAAGATATTTACACATGTAAAAACAATGAAATGACCTATACATACAGCCAAACACTGCAATAATACAAATAATCAGGCTTAAATCTGTAGAAGAGTGCTGTTATTATTTTAATCTGAAGTTTAAAAGTTATAGAACTGTAATTAAAGTCACCATCAATAATTATTGCTGTTTTCAGTGATAAAAATATTATTTATTCAACGTTTTTGTTGTTAAAATGTCCAGAATTATACAAGATTTTATAACTTTTTAACATACAAATCCATGTAAAATTACACTAAAACTTTTTTGTACTGTTAATTGTCTTAAGTTTTTACATAATTTTAGAAATACATTAACTGTATTAAACTTGAATTTAACCTATTTAATAAACAAAAGATATCTGCCAAAAAAAATTTACGGGAAAAAAATGATTGACAGTCACAGATTTTACATGAGACATGTAAATTCACAGGCCATATTTTGATGGATTTAAAAAATAGTTAAAAAAATGATACAATAAACAGAAAAAATGCTGTAAAATTTATAGTACATAAACCTGGACACATGAATAAAATTCCATAAAGTAAATAATGTGCAGATAGGGTGTGACTTTGAACATGGACAGGATCAGGTCTTTAGGCCCTCAGGGGTTCAGGGTACTGGTATGTGTTTGAATATTTTTTCTATTAGAGACAAATAACACGAGGAGACTAGAGAAGACGCGCGATCATCTGCGAGCACAGAGAAGAAACACTACTTGAAGGACCAGTGTGTTGGATTTAGTGGCATCTAGCAGTGTAGTTGCAGATTGCAACTCCCTCCCTTCACCCTCTTCTTCCAAGTGTGTAGGAGAAAGTATAGTGGCCGCAGTAAAAGCCAACACCCCTATCTAGAGCCAGTGATTGGCTACTGTAGAAACATGGCAGTTCAACATAGGGGAATCATTGGAAGACGAAGTGCTGTCTGTAGATAACAGCTTATTTTAAGATAACGAAAATAGATCCTCTTAAATGTTACACAGTGGCCCTTTAAATGATCTGTCTTTATCAGTGAGGAGCAGCCTCTTTGTGTTCTTGAAGGTGAAGGGGCGTTGTCAAGTAAATTCTTTGTCGTCCATGCATTACACTGCTTACTGGAAGTGAGTAAATTCTAGCAGCACGTAAAAATGTCCAGATATACTACAAGTGCTTTTGTTAGCCTTGTTCCTACATTGTTCAGGGGGCAGTTATTCCTATCAGTCATTTCTGGCAGAAAGCGAACCTCTCCCACGTGCCCATGTTGACTGCTGACCTGTCTCTCCTAGCCAGTCCTCCAAGCTTTGTTTTAGCAGGTTGGGGGTGTCTTAAATTGCATTCATAATCTTAAATTTAATTTGTTGAAAGCTGCAGAAACCCTAGAAGACTTAATGTGTGTGATTAATTCCAGCTGGAAGGAGATTAAGATTTAAGAATAAAACCTCTAATAAATATTGAATTTTTGCTGCCTTTAGAACATTTCCAGAATATACACTTTTTGTGAAAATGCTGCGAGGGTTGTGAGCTGTAGAGATTCCACAGTACTATTCCTGTAGACTTCATGTCTTTTGCTTTTCACAGAACCCACTGTAGGGACCCTGTAGCTCCCTCCTGTGGTCACTCAGTGGAACTACATAGATACCAGCTGTGTTCAGCTGTACAAGGCAGATTTATGTGTGTAGAAAATAGAGCACTGAGGGGGTGAGTGATCCTTCAGCAGTGAGCGTGTGTGTATGTAGGCTTCATGTGTGTGGGTATGTGTTTTGGTTCAGTGTGTGTGAAGAGGCCAAGTGTGTTCCTCCCACACATTTTTATTCACTGCTCTTCTCTCTGATCCCGTTATCCCGTTTACTTTTATCTGATTCCACTTATTCATTTCCGTTGCCATTGAGCTGCTTTGAGATATCCAAAAATGCCAAACTTGTTCTTGAAGCAGGTTTTATTGAAAGAATTACAAAAGAGCAGCAAACTGTCTGTCTCTGTTTTAGTCTTGCCTTCCCAGAGAAAGTTTCATGAACAATTGACTGTTTCTCTGTGTCGTTCTGCTGCATGTATTGTGCCTTGCTTAAAGGCACTAACAGTAGATTGTAGTTTTTGAAGGAGGGCACAGTAATACACTGTGAAAAAAATTCAAAGACTCAACATGTCTTGCCAAAATAACTAACAGATTTTGTGTTGCAGAAAGCTGAAACCATTGGCAGAAAATAATGTAATGTAATAAAGTGCATTTTCTTTTAGTTCTGTACTTGAGTAGACAGAGGTGCTTTACTTGAATATTTCCATTTTATGCTACTTTATACTCACCTGTTTGAGGGAAATATGCTACTTTTAGCAAAATTAGTAAAAAAAAAAAAAGAATAGTGAATACTTTCATATACTGTAAATACATTTTACTGATCATGCTTTTGTACTTTAAGTACTTTTATAGGACTCTTACTCTGTAGTATTGGTATCTTTACCTCAAGTAATGTGTATGGATACCTCTTCCTCCCCTAGGTGAAGTAATCTCTCGCTGTTGGCTTGTTTTTAGAAAAATATATGTTTTTAGTTTTATTAAGTTTTATTAAGGTTTATTTCTATGAACAAAACCAGAATAATCAGACAGACGTGATCACTGAAATGGATTTGAATGTACAGTCAGTCAGTTTGCTCTGCTGGCCGTTACACCGGAGTGGTGAACTCTCTCCACATGATCCCTCATGTGACAAAGCCAGATCTAAAAGTGCACCAAGCTCTGACTGCATGAATGCATGGGAATGTTGCGATTATGTAAGCTTTCTGCATTTTTTATGGTAAAAAAGGCTTTTTCTGTGTCACTGAATATCTAAGTACATATGTGGACATACAGGAAGTCAGTTTCTATATGGGTGTCCAGTGTCCACTTTCTGTTATTCTTATGGACTGCATCCAGCTGCTGCTTCCAGCGAACCGACCACACTGAAGCTCTTCTCACTCATCCACCTTTCTAGATCAATAACTGAGGGACAGTTTGTTTCCTCAGATGTCCCTTGATTTAAACTGGCTGGCTAGCTAGCTATCCCTGCTAGTGCATGGTGGTGCTTTTTAACTCCAAAAACATTGCAGCATATTTTTGATTCACCATCAATTCTTATCAAACTGACTATATCCTAAATCAATACGCTTGATTTTATACTTCAAATAATTTAAAAAGTTAATTTAGTGTTTTCGAAAATTGTACAATATTCTTCCTCTCCTTTCTGCTCTGAGCTTGAATGCTGAATTGAATGTTGGGATATATGTATTGGCAAATTCATGCAAGTTACCAACATCCTCAGTAAAATGGGCGTCTCAAGAACATTTCCGGGATTTCAACTGTTCTTGTTTATTGGGACGTTTTACAAGAGTACAAACAAGAACACAGATTGAGAAAGGGCCTTAGTCTGCATTAGATTTATCAGAGATAGAGCAGGTCGTCCACTAACTGGAAGGTTGGAGGTTTGATCCCCGGCTCCTCCAGTTGCATGTCAAAGTGTCCT